TAAAACTAATGTAAGATATATATTTTTTTAAGAATAAGGGATCGTTCAGACGTTTTAATTAGTGTAGAAGTTTATAAAGTGTATATAAATATAGCATATTTATTGATTCTACTTAGAATTTACTTAGTTCTTTTATACCGGGTGCATCTAAAAATTGGCTCATCCTTATAACTTTTTTATTTTTTTACATCAAAAAACGATATTTGGTGTGTTAGTATATGACATAAATTAGAATTGATTGACGTATTCAATTGTTTTCGGTCACTACCTGTTTTACCGGAAATTACTACAATTTTTGATTTTTAAATGGCACCCTCGGTATTTCTTTACTTTATTCTATAGAAAATAACAATATGAACAGAATGACATATCATATGTCAATTTTTGACATTTTCGCATATCGCTATTTATTTGAAATTATAACTTGCGGTTCGTAATGAAAATTTGACTCGAAATACCAAGTGTGTGGTATCAAATTATTCGTAAAAAATGCTTTTTCCTAATATGCTAATGAGCCACCCTCGTTCCATTTGAAAAAATTGAGATATGATTAAAAATATGATTTGAGCATTTTCTAACTGGCCAGGACAAGACATTAAACAGGACAATTCCAAGCCAAAATACATTTCCAAGGCTCCTTGATTAAGAATTTTGTGTTTTTAACATAGCCATGCATGGCACTCTAGATTGAATTTTAAAATACGATTTTTTTTTAAGCAAAAGAATGTCAAATGTTGACATATGATATGTCATCCTATTCAGAGTGTCATTTTCTATGGAATAAAGTAAAAAAATACCGAGGGTGCCATTTAAAAATCAAAAGTTATAGTTATTTCCGGTGAAACAGGTAGCGATAAAAAACAATTGAATACGTCAATCAATCCTAATTTATGTCATATTCTAACATACCAAATCTCGTTTTTTTATCTGAAAAAATAAAAAAGTTATAGTGGTGAGCCACTTTTGAGACGCGCCCGGTATACTAATAAATTGGCACCTAAAGTATATGTATAAATCTGCACTTAGGTCCATTTTCATATAAAGAAGATACCATTACAAAGAAGCCAAAGCAAGTGTAATAATATATAAAACAACTCCAGAGTTCCCAACAGGAAAAGGAATATGGCAGTGAGACGCCTAACTAGGGAATGCAATCCCGCAAATGCGGGATCCCACTGAGATTCCGCGGGATCAAATTTGCGGGATTTACCGTGCGGTATCCGCGGAATCGACACATTACTACTGGGCACAGAATATACTAACGAAAAAGAAGCCCAAGTTCCTTGTAATAAATCGGTTCTATTTTCGTAACGCCATCTCTCGACATAGCTGACATTTACAGGCTAGCCAAAAAGGTGCGGGGCCGGGGGGAATTGTAAAATACACTTTTTTATTTTAATTATTTTTATTCGCTATTTGCAATTTTATTTTTAAAACATATTATGTGAAACAATCACAAATAATATGTCTTAAAAATAAAAATACAAACGGAAACAAAAGGAATTAAATAATCTGAAAATCTACAAAGTTTATTGATAAAAAAGTTAGGCTATGCAAATTGATATATTAAGTATTACCTCTTTGGTATAACATTGTTAAACAAACATTAACAAATCATAACATATCAGATCATAGAACTAAAAAAAGGACTTTAAAAACAGGTGATACAATACTTCAAAATTAATTTTAACATAATATCAAAACGGAAAAATCAAACTGCAAACACAACCACACTTATCACAACAGAAATTAACACACACTTCCGCGGCAAATGTCCAAGAAAGACTAATCATTCTGATTGGTCCTGGTCCGGTCGTAGCTCAAGTCGTATTGTCGGTAAGCAAAATCCCTGTACAAAAATTTTGACGATCAGCGCCATCACCCGTCATAATTGGGAAACTTTTGCTGGAACCATTTTTAATATTTCACTTACATGGCCCTGCTACTGGGTAACCGAATCGATCTCGATCAAGATCAAACCGCTTCGTTCCGGGCCGATGCGTCGACGCTCGGAACCCAGGAGCAGGGCCATGTAAGTGAAATATTCAAAATGGTTCCAGCAAAAGTTTCCCAATTATGACGGGTGATGGCGCTGATCGTCAAGATTTTTGTACAGGGATTTTGCTTACCGACAATACGACGTGAGCGTAGCTCCGGACCAGCACCAATCAGAATGATCAGTCTTTCTTGGACATTTGCCGCGGAAGTGTGTGTTAATTTCTGTTGTGATAAGTGTGGTTGTGTTTGCAGTTTGATTTTTCGGTTTTGATATTATGTTAAAATTAATTTTGAAGTATTGTATCACCTGTTTTTAAAGTCCTTTTTTTAGTTCTATGATCTGATATGTTATGATTTGTTAATGTTTGTTTAACAATGTTATACCAAAGAGGTAATACTTAATATATCAATTTGCATAGCCTAACTTTTTTATCAATAAACTTTGTAGATTTTCAGATTATTTAATTCCTTTTGTTTCCGTTTGTATTTTTATTTTTAAGACATATTATTTGTGATTGTTTCACATAATATGTTTTAAAAATAAAATTGCAAATAGCGAATAAAAATAATTAAAATAAAAAAGTGTATTTTACAATTCCCCCCGGCCCCGCACCCCTTTGGCTAACCTGTAAATGTCAGCTTTGTCGAGAGATGGCGTTACGAAAATGGAACCGATTTATTACAAGGAACTTGGGCTTCTTTTTCGTTAGTATATTCTGTGCCCGGGAGATTCCCCTTATAGCTTGGCCATTAAAAATAAGTGAAACAAAAAACAAACAGGTTAGTTATTAGATTTCTTTGTGGCGTATGTGCGTAAGTGAAGAAAAGCGTTTAACACTAGTTAAACCACAAGTACTAACTTGTGGACAACTTCGTCAAATAAACTGCCGGACATAATTATCGGGACAAGCAAAATTTTAGGGTAAATTTAAAGTTGAACATCTTTTGAACTAAAAAAGATTTTGGGATGCGGTTTGGACCAGGTTTTAGATGCATTTATTGTGATTTTGTGATTGTAAATATATTTAGCGAATTCTCGTATACAGGGTGTTTTATAAGAGTGTGAAAATTTGCTTAAGAATCTTTTTTACCGCAAATTTACAATTTTTAAAAAATCGAAATTTTTACCAAGTACGACTAATCTGTATTGAAATTAGAAAAAAACAATTTGATCGGTTTTTTAATTATTTTTGTTTTAAGGAAAATACGACGTTTTTTCGAAAAATATGCATTTTTAGTCATACGTATGATCCTAAATGGTACAAAAAGCTTTGTACATTCTGCATATGTCAAAAAATTATTGATATATAGTGTATCTAAAAGCAGATAACTAACACAATTTAAAAAAAAACTTCAACATCAGAATAATATTTTTATTTATAAAATAAGTAGATAAATTATATATATTATTAATATTAAATATATTTTTTGAACACCCTGTACACACCGGTCCAATCAATATATTGTGAGCCTATGCAAAATGTACAGTGCCTTTTGTACCATTTAGGACCAAATGTATGACTATTGTTTACAGTCCCGCAATTTTGCCGATCCGCGGGATTGATTGCTTTAATCCCGCGGGTTTGCGGGATTGAGATTTTGGTGCGGGATTGCATTCCCTACGCCTAACCAAAGCTGTTTACAGTAAAACACTACAGTAAAACGCAGTAAAAAGGTCATTTGGATCCGTTTTATTCCAAGCCTCTATAGGAACAGTGAACAGGCCATTTACTTTCAGAATTCTATTCTATTATAATTCTTTAAGATAGGTAATAAAAAATTGTTTTAATGTTCTAATCGTTTTTTATTTTTTAAAATGTGTCATATATTAGACCAATTTTTATTAGTTATACTCGCTACAAGGTTACCGTGAATAACCGAGTTGTCGATCTATCGGAGGGCTATTTCCGACATTGATGGAATGGAAAAAAGCCTTAATTTTTTATCTCAAGGTACTTCCTCCAGTTCTATCTCGCCAATGAAAGTACAATCTCCGTCTCTGGTCAACCACACACGTCTTATTTATGAACCAATTGTGCTAGATTTATTTGTAAATGGTCAAGGGAACGTATGAGTAAATGGGAAAGCAATTAAAAAAATAATTAAACAACCCTAAATTGGTCTATCTTATTTTAAAAATATATAGGGTGTCCAAATATTCCGTGGACATCACATTATGTCCAATGAACTTATTTTGATTTCAAAAATACGTAGTAGTTCTATGTCCAAGAAATATTGGGATACCCTGTATACAGGAAGCAGGGATGCCAACTCGCTACCTCCTTCCAAAAGGGTGATATGTTCAGATTCACTAAATGCATTACAATGCCTAAACGAATTATCACCAAAACATCCTTTAGCTAATATAATAGGCTAATATCTAAAGGTTCAACCACAGTTTAAAGAATATAAAATATATCAGTTGATCCACTCTAAGGAATTCTATTGTTATTTTGACTTCAAAGACGGCCCGTGACCCTTCGAGGTGACAAAAATTTGTACGTTTACCGGGTGCAGCGGATGTGCTATTTTATCAGTCAGAACGCTGGCCGTATACGAGGGATCAACTAAAAATACTAAGGAATTTTAATACAGCAAGTAGAAAAATAAAAATACAGTACTAGTTTTATTGATTAACAGTTTTAGGCGTCTTTAATAATTGATCAATATTTATTTACTTTCTTTTTATTATTATTTAATAACATATCTCAGTGTTTACAAATATAAATACGATATGAATTGAAATGTGAAATAAAAAAACGGATTTTAGTTAAGTACATTATCTTATAATACTAATTTATTCATGTTAATTTTACAACAAAATAATTTACATATTTTACCATCAATGTTAATACATAACGATTATAAATTCTTATTATATACATATATATATATAAAAGATTAAACGGGGCTCAGCCCCCAACAACTCGCAACCGTATATTATATATTATATAGGGTCGCGGTCGAAGAAGTACTCCTTGACGTCCTCGTCGTAGAAAAACATGCCGCACAGCATGGCCTCGGTCGCCGCTTGGCTGCCCTTCGCGCGGGCGGCGGCCATCGGCTGGGTGCCCATCGCCACGCACCCGCTGCCTCCGCCACCCGTGCCCAAGGACCGCCGCAAGACCTCTGGCAAGACCGACGACGAGAAGCTGCTCATCAACGTGTCGGGACGGCGCTTCGAAACCTGGAGGAACACGCTAGAGAAGTACCCGGACACGCTGCTCGGTTCCAACGAGCGCGAGTTTTTCTACGACGAGGACATCAAGGAGTACTTCTTCGACCGCGACCCTGACATCTTCCGCCACATCCTCAACTACTACCGCACCGGCAAGCTGCACTACCCCAAACACGAATGCCTTACCAGCTACGATGAGGAACTCGCGTTCTTCGGCATCTTGCCGGATGTCATTGGTGTTTCATTATTTATAGTTTAAGATTAAACGGCTCAGCCCTCAACAACTCGCAACCGTATACACCAGTGTACACCAGTGCAGACACGCACACTCACACACTCACACAACCACACACCTACACTAGTGTACTCTGATGTTACTGCCTTCAGGCTTTATCAGTACGGTAAGGAACCAGGAAGCGATGAAACCGATCCCAAAACACAAAAAACCAGGAAGCAAACGATGCAACGAGGCACCGTGTGCAACCCAGGAGATGGAAAAAAAATTGATGAGGAAACGAAAATAAATGATGGAAAATAAAAAGGAGCAAACGGGAGCCTAAAGCCCCAATTTGCAGCCAAGAACCAGAGTCGCCCAGGATTGTGGGCTTCGTCCAGAACAGCCGCGGAGGTAGCCAACAGCAACCCGCCGCAATACCCTTAGCCGTGGTACCAATATGAACAAGAAAGAAATAGTGAGGGAAATGTATAAAAAAGAAGAAAAAGAGGGGGCTTTAGGCTACCTTTCTTGCAAAAGGTGATGCTGGGAACTGCTGTTCTTAAAAATGCTGCTGTTCTTAATAATGAACGTTTTGCATTCGGTAACCAATAATGCACGTGTGTGTATTATTGGTTGCCGGATAAGGACTAATAACTATGACAAGGGCTACAATGACGTCACAAAGCGAGTAGTTTTCGCATGCACCTGGCGGACACTTTTGGCTGAATGAGCAGTCCTATTAGGTTAACTGTTGGTTCAACCCCAGATTTTTTTTTTGAAAATTTGTTTGGAAATGGTTTTAGTTTTTATTTAAAAAAATAATTTCTTGATAATATGGCAACATAGCTAGTAGATTAAATTTACAAGAAAGAAAATCCAGAAAAGATCCAGTGGTTCTAAAACATTTAGCAATAAATAATTTCTTTTTAGAAATTTTCAAAATAAAATAACTCCGTTATTTTGGACTTATTTGAAAAACGATAAAAAGAAAATATGTTTCTTTTATCGAGATCTACCACCCCTTAAAATACTTGAACTTATTTCTGGGACACCCTGTATAAGTAAAATAAATTAATGGTAGTTTTATACAAGGTGTTTGCTTAAATAAGTCATTAATATAGTGGATATGCTAGTATTTAGGAGTCGATTCTTAGACCCATTTTAAGAAAAAAACTTCATATGAATGAATGTATGTCTTAAACGTTCTACCTTTTAAGATACAGTATGCTAAAATTTTCCGAAAAGAATATTAAAATTAAAATTAAAAAAATATACTTTAGGCAAAGATTACACCACTTTAGGTCATTCTCGCATTTTACCACATAGATTGTATTCAAAATATATGTCAAAACATGCCTAATTATGCATAACACAACTTTAAAAATTCAAAGATAACGATCACAAAACCAATAAAATAAACAACCTAAGACAAAATAAACTTGTTGAAAAATAAAAATGTTGAGATAATAACAAATATTGTTGTTTAAGCATGTCTCTGCTTTATTAACAATGAAATACAACATCAATCGTAGGTTTTTTGATCCTCTTTTTCTAAATTTTATTTTTAAATACCAAAAAAAAATCCGGCACGATATGCTAGCGCTTTGTCTGAAGTAGATACCTACTTATTAAATCAGCATAAATAATATTAATACCTATATAATTTATTTAAAACGTATTTCAATTACAATCTATCTACACTTGAAACAATTCAATTTCAAGGACAAGTTAATATAAATCACTTTGAAGACAGAATGCATCAACTGTCCTTAACGCGGTAAAGGTAGTCCAAAAATTATAAAAATTAACACAATAACTAACACAAATTATGTAAAAAAGGTTGTAAAAATGTAGTTTTTAATTAAATGTATTATTATTGCTACGAAAAATATTTCTCTTAATGACAGGAAGAAAATAAAACATTTGTTTTTTAGAATACCCTGGAATACCAATGATTTTTTTTCAAATTAATTAAAATTTTTTAATCGTCTTTTTAAATTTTCTTCATTAGGCGCCATCTAGTGAGTTGTGTTGAATGCTGTTCAAGTTACAGTTCAGCTATGTATTATCTTAAAAATGTAAAAAAGAAAGATTCAAATATTTTACATAATGCTGATTATTGAATATATAATTTTATCAAGAATAGAATGTTATTCTTTCTTTGAATAAAACAGGATAGTTGTTATTTACGAGTTTTCTATTTATTTCGTTTTTAAGTATTTAGGATTTCGGTCCGATCAATCGCACCTGGCGCCCTAGTTCTTCAGTTGACTACTAGATGGCCCGTCGTCAAAGCAACCTACAATTTTTTGAGCGAAATGCCAAAATAGGTGCGCCGTGTCATTTTTAAACAATTTGACTGCCTAAATAATTTAAATTGGCAGCGCCAAATCCCGGTCATAACCTACCCCAACCCTTAATTCTTCGAGAAAAACCTCCAAATACAAAGTGCGTCTCGCTTCGTCAATTCTGCGCGTAAAACTGTGGGATGGGTCAATGTCAGATAGCTGACCGTATTGCTGCTAGCGTAAACCAGAATCAACCCGACCAGAATTGGCAAGTTTTTTGTGTTTTTTAGCAGTGTTGAATGCTTTCGAGTGGTGTGTGCGGACCCCAGTTCAACCACGAACTTAGATAACATGCCCTTCGACTCAGACACCAACAAGGTAAGTCATAATTTGGAGTGACATGCCCTAGGTAATGGTCGTGATAAACAAAAATATGTGGGTCAGTTACCGACAGTTTTTAGCCGAACTCTCCACTATTTATTTACGTTTATTTCGTTTGTTTTCATCTCCAAACCTGTAAAGAATCGCTATTTCACAAAAATCGAAATAAATAATAATATTTTGTCGTAACCTAACCAAAAAAAAAAATTACTCTGCGACAGTTTTGTTGTTATTATCTATAAACAACAGTGGCAAAATTTCCATTGAGATTTAAATAAAAATCTGGAGCATTATTAAAAACTCGGATGTATCAGGGGTGAATAACCTTTGTTTACCTACTGCTTGACAAACATGAAGAGTATAATTGAAGCAGTATGCCTTCTATTTGACAATGGTAATATAACCAGTTTAAATGGCTCTATTTGTTATTTAAAATAGTTTGTAGATATACGTATGTGTTCTATAAGTGAGTAGGATAATTTTCTTTTGTTATGATAATAGTTTTTTAGAGCTACTATGATTTGTAGTAGATATGCAAAGAATAATAATTTTGTTGAATATTAAATTGGCTTTATATTTATACTATAAAATTATATTTAAGTCGCTACATAATGTAAGTATATAAATTAGAGGAATTAAGAGTTTTTTATAAGCCATTTGTGTTGTTTTTTGCAATATTTATGTTTTCAACTGATTGATAAATATTATTTTTACGTGAGGAATTTCCCCACGAGAGATGGCACATGTTTTTTGAAACACCATGTATAAAAATTAACCGTAAATAACGTTATTATCAATGATGTATTGTTTATCACCACCTCCATATAGAAATTGTTATCGGAGTTAACCTAATTTGCAATTTATTTTCAACTATTATCAGAAAGCCGTGGAAAATTCTGGTTTATTTGACATTGACGGTACTATCAAACAACAAAAAAAATCTGTTTTGATTCATTTCTGCACAATTTTAAGTGTTTTTAACGATAAAAATGTTTCGAAACCCAAAAATTGATCTATTATTCTTAAAATATTGTCTTTATCTTTATGACAGTTTGATAATATAACATAGTTCTGGGTATTTTTCCTTTGGAAAATTCAAAATATGGTGAAAAATATATATTTATGTATTACCGTTATCCCATCATCATTGTTTACATAATAGGGATTAGAAAAACACCTTATTCTAGATTCAAAATGTGAATCTTTGTTTCAGATTCAAAATACGAATATTTATTCTAGATTCGGAATATGAATTTTGTTCTAAATTCGAAATATGAATCTTTGTGCTAGATTCAAAATATGAATCGTTGTTCTAGATTCATAATATCGATCTATGTCATTGTAGATTTAACAAATGGATCTTTGTTCTTTTTAGATTCAAAATATGAATATTTGTTTTTGAAATCTAGATCCAAAATAAGTATCTACAAAATATGTCTTTCTAAATTGCAAATCTGAATTTTTGTTCAAGATTAAAATTAAAATTTTTGTTTTAGATTCAAAAGACGGATATTTGCTATAGATTTAAAGTATGAATTCAAGATATCAACTTCTTCCTGCTTGTTCATGTGACATTTTCAAATGTAATTCAGAAATGTCTACCCTAAGTTTAAAACCTTGTAGGTACCTACCTATAATTGATTTTGAAAGTAGGTTTCTTTTAAACAGTCTGACATTTTATTGGAAAATTGCACACAATTTTCAATAGTTATATTTTATGCACTTTAAACTTAGCCACAATGTAATAAGTATTAGTTCAAATTAAAATCTATTTTAGTCCATCCATCGTACGATACGAATCATATCGGCATGGGAAAAGTTATTTATTTACACTGTTCCACACTTAACATACAAGGCCATTTGGTAAGTGTATTGTGTTTGTGTGAAATCGGCCGAGTGTTTTTAATTCAATGATAATCGGATGCTACAGTGGCGTAACGCTACAATGGATATTTTCTCGTGTTTTAATATTTATTTTGTCATCTTATATATACAGTATGTCCCCGGATTGTTTTTGCAAGAGGAAAAACTTTTTGATGTGAAACTTCTTTACGCGCGCTGGGAGTAAAAATTCAAAGCCATGACACACGAACTAGCGAGACGACACACGAATGTATTTGTGAGCAGTCCACGTGTTTATTAAAAATATTGATATTGTACAAATACAAATTTTGTGAAAGTGAATAAAATTATTTATTAACTAGCGTGTACCCGCGACTTCGTTCGCGTCGAATTAATCATTTGTAATGGTGATGATAAAGCAAAGCAAGAATTTCCAATAACATACAAACTGGATAAAATTTTCTCACATTTATGTCAGCATGAGAAAAAACAATATGGCGATATTATTATATAACTTGGTAATATTTGAGG